TTTCATAGGTACCACGGCGACACCACGCCCCGATCCTCCTCCCCCGGAGCCTTCAGTGCCCACACCATCTCCCTCTATCACTGTCACCTCGCCTCGGCAGTTCGCTCACTTCATTCGATAGGACGACGTCACCTTCTTTATGGTGGACGTGACGGATCTCTTACACTATGATCCACCCTAGGGCATCTGCGACCCGATTAGTCTCACCCTTGATGTGCTCAGTGGTGAAACTAAACTCGGATAGGTCGCGCCACCAGCGAGCCTGTCGAGGAGTGAGCTTCGACTTTGTCAGAAAAGCCTGGACAACAGAGTTGTCCGTGCGCACCGTGAATGGTGCCCCGTGCAGGTAGTGACGCCAGTGCCGAGCGGCATAAACTACTGCAAGAACCTCACGTTCATCCGCAGTGTAGTTTATCTCGGCGGGCAGGAGCTGACGGGAGTAGAAGGCTATCGGACAATCACCTGAGCGACACTCAACAGTGTCGTCCTATGCGATGGTAGGAGAATAGTCAATAGAAGGCTCGTCAGTAGCTGGACGAGTAGGCGTCAGTCGGGAAGCAGTGGTAGGGGTAGGTGGTGGGAAGCGAGGGATACGAGGATAAGAGGAATCAGGAGATGAGGGGGAGACTTGAGAAAACACTGCTCCTACAGCGAAGTCTGACGCATCGGTGGTAAGGATAAAAGGGCGGTCAAAATCGGGTAGGTGAAGAACCGGTGCGCATGTCACCGTCTTCTTGAGGGCGCGGAAGGCGTCCTCGTGGAGGGGTGTCCAAGCCCAGGGTGGGTTCTTCTGGAGGAGGGTGGAGGTAAGAACGTAGGAATACCTAGCGTATCCCCGGATGAAGTTACTATAGTAGCTGGTCAGGCCTAGGAAGCTGCGAAGCTGCTTGGCGGATGTGGGAGCAGGCCACTCCGCAATAGCAGTGATCTTCGCGTCGTCCATGTGGAGACCCTGGTCAGACACGTAGTGTCCTAACAAATCCACTTTGTGCCGAGCAAAGCGGCACTTGCTTAGCTTGGCGTAGAAGCCATGTCTGCGCAAGCGGTCAAGGACGTCGCGGAGGTGTCTAAGGTGCTCCTCAAGGGTACGACATTAGACCAGGATATCGTCGAGGTAAACGAGAACGTATTGCTCCAGGATGTCCCTGAAGATGTCGTTCATCGCCCTCTGGAAGGTAGCGGGTGCGTTTGTGAGGCCGAATGGCATCACCGTGACCTCGTAGTGGCCGAATCGTGATCGGAACGTGGTCTTCGGCTGGTCGGCTGCGGCGACGCGGATCTGATGGTAACCGCTCCTCGTAAAGAAGCGGTTGCCCGCTAGGTGGTCGAACAGCTCATCGGAACGAGGCATGGGGTAACTGTTCTTAACCGTGTAGCAGTTGAGGCCGCGGTAGTCGATGCAGAGACGAAGAGTTCTATCCGCTTTGCGAGCAAAGAGGACGGGTGCACCCCACGGGGAGTTGCTGGGTTTAATGAAACCCAGTCTCAGGATCTCCTCAAGCTGATGCTTGAGTTCGGTGGCCTCGGGGATCGAGAGTCTGTAGGGTGCCTGGTGGTAAACACGATAGTCAGGCACGAGCTGAATGGAGTGCTCGACGTCACGCATCGGTGGGATGCCGGGGTACGAGAACGACGATGGGAAAACGTCGTGGTACTCTTGAATGAGGTAAAGAACTGCGGGCTCCAAGTCAGCCGTATATCGTGCGAGTTCCTCAGCGTCATCGTCAGCGAGCGACAGCGGGGTGGACTCGACGGACGGCGGAGGGACGAAAGTAGAGATGGGAGCCATGGAGATAGAGGGAGGATCTGGCTCCAGAGGGATGAGCTCAGCTGTCCCTGAGGGTCGTTGGCAGTCCATCTCGATGGACTTTATCGGTCCTCTTCGACCTCCGACCCCCCGCGGTCATGATGCTATCCAGGTCGTCGTCGACCGCCTCATGAAGCGTGCACGCTTTGTTCCGTGCCGCTATGCCATCAGTGCACGTGAGGTCGCCGACATCGTATTTGACCGAGTCGTGCGTGACCACGGCTTACCTCTGAGCATCATATCTGACCGTGACCCGCGCTTTACCAGCCGATTCTGGCGAYGGCTCCACGAGGTGTACGRCACTCAGCTYCGCTTCTCCTCGTCTTACCATCCTCAGACTGATGGTCAGACCGAGATCACGAACAGGAGTCTCGGGGATATTCTCCGAAAGATTGTTCGTGACGACCAGCAGTGGGATCTTCATCTTGCCCACGCGGAGATAGCCTACAACCACGCCATCTCGCCAGCCACGAGGATGTCGCCTTACTATTGCGACCTCGGCTATCACCCGCGTGTTCCCGCAAGCTTCCTTCGACCGTCCCAGATGCACCCCGACATGAGTTATCCCGCGCTGGATGATTGGGTTGCACTTTATGAAGACCGCATATGAGCACATAGCCGCTTCCCAGACTCGCATGGCAGCACGTGCGAACCGATCGAGGATGGATCACCCATTCAAGGTCGGTGATGATGTGCTTATCGACGCCCGCCACTTACAACTCGAAGCGGACACGCTTCGCAAGTTTCGGCGTCGCTTCTTTGGCCCATGCCGCATCCTCCAGGCCGTCGGTTCTGATACGGCATCTAGCCCGGTCCGCTTTCGTGTGAAGTTGCTCGACTACCTACGCCAGGCTCGTGTGCATGATGTCTACCACGTCTCGTTACTGCGTCCTGACCGTCTGAGCGTTTCGCTGGACGACCATACAAGCGCCCTCCAACCATCATGGTGGACGGCCACGAGGAGTTCCTCATTTCAGACATCATTGGTCGCCGAGTCACCGACGACAACCCTCCCCACGTCGAGTATCTCGTACGTTGGAAGGGTTACCCTGATGAGGAGGCTACCTGGGAGCCGCTCGAGCACTTAGAGCACGCTCGCATGTTGGTGCGTGCCTATGACCGTGCTCGTCGTGCTGGGTTCACTACTCCTCCTCAGCCCACTGACCCTCCTCCTTCTCCTCCGGCTGAGGAGACCGCTGAAGTTGGGTCTGCTCCATCTGAGGCAGACCTTCAGCAGCAGCCGGATGCTTCTGAGTGTCCACAGCGCACTCGTCGTCGTCCTGCTCGATACGACGATTGAGTCTGACTTACCTTCCCACGTCTTTGACTTCTCAGTACTCCATCCACATCAGTTTTGCTACTTCAGCTCGTCGACACTGCGGCTCTTCCTCGACGGCATTCCGGACCTCTCATCATAGACGTCATCGGCAGCTTCATGGACTTCATCACGATCAGCTCTGCCTACTTTAGACGTCGCCACTCTCTTACCACTCTACCCTGTACAGTACCCTGCTTGTGTCGCATGATTGTCTCCCTTTAGCCGGGTTCCTCTGAGTTGGGTTCTCCCTTGGTATACGCATAGGCATCGGGACCGTAGCGTTGCCCTGGCTTCCCATCTTACGGATCTAGCTCCGACTTCCCTCACCTTAGGAGTTATTTGCATGATTCCCTTACCCATGCTCTTTCTACCCTTCACCGGCCCTCACGCCCTAGTTAGGCAGCCCCGCATGCTTCATCTAGGTGCGCCTAGTATACCAGGCTCCCTTGTTCCCTTGCATGGTCGACCCTCCATAGCAGTCACCTCTCGGTCGAGCATCACCCGCCCAGATGGTCTATCTGTTAGGGTCATTGGTTCTGTTCGCTCCCAGTTCCCTACCCTCATTGAGCCTGATGACATGTGTTTTCCCCTGTCACTGTGTGTGGATGCCCTTAGGAGTTTTCGACCTCTAGGCTGCATTCGCCACCCTCAGAGACCATCCCACCCTCTGGTGTGCGACACACTTCTCATGTGACATATGGTTGTCTTGTTGATTGCTTTGTTGCTCTCAGACTGAGGCTACTGCCTCCGACATTTCTAAGATTAGTTGTTATGCTTTTGCTGTTCTTAGGACTTATACACTAGTCAGTTGTTACCAGACTGAGGCTAGTGCCTCCAACATTCTAGGATCTAGTTGTCACTACTTTTTGCTTTCCTAGGACATGTATGTTAGTTAGTTGCTCCTACTTTCACTTAGGTTGTTAGCTGTGACATTGTTGTTTTGTGACATTTTATATCCTAGGTTGCATCGCATGGACTCAGCATGGAGCTTGCTCCGCATCCTAGACTACTCAGGTTTTCTTTTCTTTGGTAGAGTTCCGTTTCTTGGCGGAAGCATGTTTGTATCTAGGCRATCCATCACAGGCCGAGGATCGTGTAGCGGACCTCGGGTTGGCCTGCGAAACCAGCCCCTTGGCCTGTTCTCACAGGCCTGTGTTATATTCGGGGTAGGCCAGTCCAGGCCGGTACCTCTGTCAGTACCAGCCAGTCCAGTCCAGTCCCGTCAGTCCGCTGGGGTATACCCCAGCCATTGTCTGTTTTCAGTCTGATTCCTCACTTGCACATTTTGGAGTACGTGCGTTGGAGTCTTGCGTGGGGAGCTGCGTTGTGCCATCTTGCTCCCCCTTCTTCCTCCATCTCCATCTCTGTCACTAGCGGAGCACCACCCCTGGTGGGTCCGCTACACACTCGTCCTCGACTTCCCCTTGTCCTCGTCCTCCTCCTCCTCCTCCTCCTCCTCCTCTGCTGGAAATGCTGTTCTTACTGCCATCGATTGTTCACCCTTGGGACCTTGGGTACTTGTATGAATACTGTCATTGCTTCTCCTACTGTGAGACTCTTTTGCATTAATTTTTCTATTCTGGAAGCAATACATGTGAATGGACTCGAGAGGAAAGTGTACTTATCCGCGTGAGGCTTCGCCTCAGAGGGGGAATGAGGTCACGAAGAAAGCAGTAGAGAAGTGAGAGAATGGGATCTGCATCGCCTTTTCTTATTTTTTTCATATTTCTATGGTTCGTGGTGATTGTGTCATAAGGGACCGATGGACCCGGTCACCAGCAGGTGGAGCTCCCCACCTACAGAGCGGTGTCATCTCCCAGCGCGAAACCACAAGTCCAGGGATTCATTCCTTCGCACTCCCTGGGATGGGATAGTGGCCTTGCAATATAACGATGTTTCGTCGCAAAATCACTCCCCCAAAAAAAGAAAACAACGATGGACGTGTCAGGTTTTTGAGTTCCTGTTTAAAATTTCAAAAAAAGGTTTTGAGTTCCAAAAGGCAAAAAAGAAAACACTAATGAATTGTACCCATGACGTGAGTTTCAAAAGGCACTACCATAGGGTTCCAGTTGCACTACTCCACACATTTCAAGTTTGGCGAGTAGGTGCTGGTTGCACTTACTCGCCAAACTTGGCGACTGCAAAATGTGTCAGCGGCTTGCCACACCATCTGCACAAGTTGTGAAGAGTGTTTTTATTGTCCCCGCCTGTGCACGGTGGTTTGTGGAGGGTGCGGTTTGTGGAGGGTGGTTGTCGGACCTCTTGTGGGGAGTG